TACCTGCTGACAACAATGAAATGGATAAAATCTATCACTTCCCAACAAAGTCTCTACCCTAGAAACAAAAACAAGAAAAATCCCCCACACCCATTTTCAGAACCCAATAAAAAACCAACTTTGATCTCAATATTTGTCACTTCCAAACAACTCGAGGTAAATCTACACACCCATTTTCAGAACCCACTGAATAACCAACTTTGATCTCAACAATTGTCACTTCGAAACAACTCGAGGTAAATCTGCACACCCATTATCAAAACCCACTGTATAACCAACTTTGATCTCAACATTGTCACTAACAAACAACTCGAGGCAAATCCGCAACCCCCACCTCCCTAACTCCACACCACTCCTCAAAAAACCCAACTTTGCACTAAAACAAACACACCAGTTTGAAACCAAGCTCAGTAGCGAACCCCAAAAAGGAAAAAAAAAAAAAAAACTTGAGCTCACAATGACAAAGTAAGTGGCAACAAGCAAGAACCCAGAAGGCCCAAAAGCGCGCCAGGTGAGCGTTCCGAGCAGGAACGCCGCTCCGATGCCGGAGAGCGACAAGCCGGCGACGAGAAGGGGAGTGCCGAGGAGGAAGATCAGAGCGTTGCTGAGAAGTGCGGACTGCCACGTGGCGGGCGACGATTGGACTATGGCCATTGTTCCTCCAACGGCGTCTCGAATGGAAGCGTGCATGTTGAGGGGAGGGGAAGAGCGGGCGAGGGTTGGGGGGTTTTGGAGACAGAAGAGAGGGTTGAAAAGAAGAAGAAGAAGCAAAGGAAGGGAGTGGGAAAGTGTTGAGAGTGGAAATTGAAAAGGCCATAAATTTGTATGAGGAGGGGTGGCGTGAAGGGGAAGGAAGAGTCGAAACGGAAAGAGAGAGAAGGTTACTACTCCATGTTGCTGATTCCATGGGATGGTAACTGTTGGCAAGTGTCACCTTCATTACACCACCTAATATCAAGATGGCAATTAATACAATTCATATAATTTCTCTTATATATATAAAAGAGAGTTATAATTATACCTATATAACTTTTATTAAGTATTACATCGTTCAATAACTTTATATTAAATGTGAATTTTGTAAATTTAGCCGTTAAATTGAAAGTTTATATATCTTAGATTATATATACAAAATTTTATATTAATCCAAGATGATTTGATACTTCATTTTTATATAACAAAATTTACTTAATATATTCATTTTAAAATATACTAAAATATGAATACTTTGATTACCTTCAAGTTGTTGTTCAATTTTAACAAAATTTGATATACACGTATAAAATGATATGAACTTTCAATCTAACGGTTAGAATTACGAAATTCACATTTAATATAAAGTTATTAAGCAGTGTAATACTTAGTAAAAGTTACACGGGTATAATTATAACCCCTATATATATATATATATGTACGTATGTATATATGTGACACCCTCTAACACGCATATCATAATACAAATAATAAAATTTGGAATACCACATTCTTTCATTTTTAAAATACCAAACACGTTCAGATAGAGAGCACCACATTCATAACTTAAACAAATAACATAATCAGTGGTAATTATAAAAGAAATAAGGTTAAGGTTTTCAAAATAATTTAGCGGAAACAACATCCTAATTTAATCTTATCTACGCCCCGATGTCACATGTCCTATCAAAGCAAATCCCAACATAAAAGCCTAAGTTTCATCATTAACATCCTCAGCCTCATGCTGATAATCACCTGTATGACAGTCAAAGAAAATAGCACAAGAAAAAAGGAGTGAGAAACATCTCACTTTGGCTCACGGTGTATAAATATATGCCGGATAGCCAAACACAAACAAAATAGGTATAACATAGATAAATTAATAATAACATCATAGTTCACTCATCCAAGACATATCAATTTTTCATATAACATTAAAATACACATGTATGGACACGGACTACATTTTATCATGCATGTGGCGCCAGTAATATATCACATGGCATATTGCCACTAGCAATACACGAAGAGTAGTCTAGGAGTACATGACGGGTCATACCCTCTGCACACTCTCACTAGAAGGACATACTACTAGAGTCTTGTCGGGATAGCTAAGCCGCGCAAGATACATCCCATGCACATAATGGGCGAGACTAGGACTTACAAATCGAGCTATCCCCAAGGACTAATCCCCAAAGCTTTTACACTAAGGGGCCTTCTCTAGCGGTGTATTCTATATCGTACCCTTAAAAACATTTATGAACATGATGCATGTCATTCAAGACTCGATGCTTTTCTCATATCATGTTATCATGTTTCATTCTCATATCACATTGTCATGTCTCATTATCACATCACATGGTCCTGTCTCATCATCATATTCACTTTATCACATTATCACATCTCACTATCATATCACATTATCATATCGTATTCACAATTTTCACAGAGCACTGTAATTCATATCAAAAATCATCTATTTGCGAAATTAAATACATATTCATACATCTCCTACAACAAGAAATACAACAGAACAATCAGAAGGTAAAATAGAAAATATTAGAAATATGTCTGTTTCTCATAGGATTCCCACAGTGCACTCTAATTCATATCAAAACTTCTTTATTTGTGAAATTAAACACGTATTCATACATCTCATACAACAAGGCATACAACAGAACAATCAAAAAGCAAAACAGAAAACATTCATATTTTGTCTGTTACAATTACAAATGCATTCTCTTAGGGCTTCCCATAGGAACCCATAAAGATTTGAAAATTATACATTTATATTTAAATATAGGAAAAGCAATAGAAGAAACATATATAATTAGGAAAAATCCCACATACATGAGCATACAACAGACAACAAACATAGGATTGGGAGCCAATCCCACTACCCAACATACATTCCTACACCTAGAGTAAGGTTTCTCACTCTCTCCCTTACCTCGATAAGAAGGAGCTGAAACTAAAACCGGATCTTATTGGTCTCCTTCTCTAGGTTCCCCTTGGTCTTCAGAGAGTATAGAAGAAAAGATGTCAGAAGTGAAAAAATGTGTTTTTGGAGTGCCAGAACGTTCTATTTATAGGCATCAAATGTGGCCAGAATGACCCGTTTCAAATCCAGAACGACCCGTTCTGGACTCATGCATCATACGTAAATTTCACATCCAGAACGGACTGTTCCAAAACTAGAATGGTCCGTTCTGAAATTACATATTACCTACAACTGCCAAGTTTGGAACGACCCATTCTCAAAGTAGAACGGCCCGTTCTGGAATCACGTATTACTCATAAAATCATGTGTTGGAACGACCCGTTCCAACCTAATCTTTCTAGGCCATTTTAGTAGTTTGGAATAGCCCGTTCCAATTTGAGAACGACCTGTTCTGGGCTACTAAAAATCAAAATATTATAAAATAATTTTTGCATTGGGTATGCAAAAAGATGTCTTGTGTCTTTTGCTGGGTTCAATTTCTAACTGTCAGAATCCAGATTTGAGATCAAATTTGGAGAAGATGTTGGATTCTTTTAGCAAAATAGGCAAGGAAGATGTCTTTGGAAGAGGAAACTTATCATCCCTCAAGAAATGATTGAGGGGTTTGTAGTCAATGATTAATCTCTTTTTTCCTCTAAGTCTTTCTGATCTTTTTTCTACATAAAAAGCTTAGCATGCCCACAATAGAATTTTTTTCCTTCCATTTCTTCGATGAAGACTGCACCCCAGTAATGATCACTTGCATCAGCCTGGATGATTCTCTTCCCATTTCCTGGGATTTTTAATGCAGGAAGATTCTGTGCGATCTTTTTTATCTCTTGGACAACCTGTGTTTGTTCTGGTCCCCATGGAGGGGAGTCCTTTTTCAGCATCTGTGAGAGAGGACTGGTATATCTAGCAACTTTGGGAATAAAATCTCGAATGTAATTTAGGATCCCTAGAAATTGTTGAATCTGCTTGACAGTTAGATTTTCTTCAGGAAAGTTGAATAACTCTTTGGCAATATGGGGTTGAGGCTGATAAGTCCCTTGAGAGAACTTCATCCCCAAGAAGTTAATTTCCTGTTGGGATAATTGTATCTTCTTTTCTTATATGAAGGTAAATGAGTTATAAGTCTCTAAGACTCCCGGCCATAGTGGTATTAGAGCCTAACTCGTTTACTGAGGATAATACTATTATAGAGGAAAATATTAAACGACACTGAAAAAATATTTTGAAATAAAAAAGTTGTACTAAATAACACATCATATTCATTCTCTAAGTTTGATGTATAAAAAAAAACTACACTTAATAAAATTTATATTTGATACATGAAAAAATAAAATAAAAAACTACACTACATAATATTACTATATTTCGTCCCTCTAAAACTAAATTATATATTTAATATTATAAGATATACAATTTTTCATCTTTAATTGTCTTGAAACACAAACCACACTAATTAATACAAAAAAAATACTATTTAAATTATTCTTTCATAGATATTTTGGTAAAATAAATTATTTTAGAACACGTTCAGTAGAAGATAATTTTTTTTTACATTTAAAAATTAAAATTTATAAAAATTATAAATTTTAGAAATCATTATTCTTAAGAATAATTAAAGTCTATTTGATTATTCATGAGATTTCTAGAAATATTCATACAAAATTTTCAAGAATTAAATATTTTTATGTTGAACATGATTCCATGCAGATTTGCTCTTTCCAAGAATTGGTTCAAAAGCTTCTTGTGACTCTCCATATCTTTAGAAAACAAGAGGATATCATCAATGTAGATGATAGCATTATCTAGGAGAGGTTCGAATATCTTTGTCATTGCCCTTTGGAATAATGAAGGTGCTACCTTCAAGCCGAAGGGTAAGACAGTCCACTGGTACTGTGCATTGGGTATGCAAAAAGATGTCTTGTGTCTTTTGCTGGGTTCAATTTCTAACTGTCAGAATCCAGATTTGAGATCAAATTTGGAGAAGATGTTGGATTCTTTTAGCAAAATAGGCAAGGAAGATGTCTTTGGAAGAGGAAACTTATCATCCCTCAAGAAATGATTGAGGGGTTTGTAGTCAATGATTAATCTCTTTTTTCCTCTAAGTCTTTCTGATCTTTTTTCTACATAAAAAGCTTAGCATGTTGTTTTGTTGAGGGCCAGAGGTTTAAAATGAAAACCCTCAGGAAAATTTTTTTGTGAAATTTTGTTTGGGTTTTTATCCCAAAATTTAGACTCCATTTGAGTGATAACCCAGAATTTATTCTTGGGAATGTAATGAGATTGAGCTTTTTGAGATTTGGTTTGGATTGCAATTTGATTTTGGGAGGTGGATTGGATCTGTTTGTTTGGAGTTTTTCCAATAAGGAGATCCAAAGCTTTTGATTCTTTTTCATCTTCTTCCTCTGACATGATGTCAACCCAAGTCTTATTTGGGATTGAAGTAAGACTTTGGTTTTGAAGACCCATGAGGGTTGAGATTGAAATTGGTATGGCATAGTCAAGCTTGGTTTGTTTTTGTGGTTGATTGGTTTGCTGAGTAGATGACTTGACAATTTGGTTTGGCTGAGTCAGTGACTCTAAAAGCTTGAGAACTGGTTGATTGGTATGCTGAGTAGATGACTCGACAACTTGGTTTTGTTGAGTCAGTGACTCTAAAAGTTTGAGAACCGGAGATGATGGTTCCATAGGTTGTTCCTTCCTGGGAGAAGTCGCCTGTTTTCCTCTACCTCGACCTCTGGCTGAGGCCAAAATTTCCTTTTTAGGCATTTGTTGTACTCTGTAAATATTCACGAGTTAGATAGTCAGGTAGAGAGTTAGAAGTGCCTTTGAGATACTCAATGTCAAAATCAAAAACACTTAAAATTGCTTGCCATCTGACAAAAATTTGTTTTGATGCAAGGTTTTTGACATCCTTTTGCAAAATTTCTCTGGCTGATTTGCAATCAACCCTAATTAAAAACTTTTGATTTAAAAGATC